AAAATAATATTTTGTAGACTATGTCAACCAGTCTACGACAGTGACTGAGTGAGCCATGTAATATAATTTCTATAAATTTGCTTCTTTAAATACAATGTTTCATTAAAATTTAAATTGTTATTCCTTATTCGATGTAATAGGAAAATGTGATTAAACGGGGGGGGTGGCGCAAAATATCCTAGCTACGCCTCTGTTCCTCACCCCTCAATCACCACCCCTCCCTTACCCCTCCCCTCACTCACCACACCATCCTCCCCCTACACACCTCCCCTCGCCTTTCTCCCACTGGCTCCCCTCCGGTTCCCTCACTCCTCCAGGCAGCCCCCCCCTATTGCCCGACGCCACGCGCGCCCCCCTTAGCCAGGGAGCGGGGTTGAGTGACACGTTGTCTCAACGATCGCGAGATGCGGGCACCTGAAGGGTCACATCCGAGGCATTCGCGTCTCGTGTCTAACAGAGGCGCAGCCAGAACCGGCTCCTGATTCAATCAGCAGCAGTGTCCAGCAGATGCGATTAGAGCAGCGAGCGTGATGGGAGTGTGATGGGTGTCGGGTTGCGATAGGCGGCAATACGAGAAGAAGGGGGAGTGATGGGTAGGGCGGTGCTGGGAGTTTGGTTGTGATGAGTGTGATAGGGGTAGGGGGTGTGATGGGAGTAGGGGTGTGATAGGGTTGGGGTTGTGATGGGGAGGGGTGTGATGGGTGTGATGGAGGTAGTAGGGGTGTGATAGGGGCAGGGGGTGTGATGGGAGTAGGGGTGTGATAGGGTTGGGGTTGTGATGGGTAGGGGTGTGATGGGTGTGATGGAGGTAGTAGGGGGGTGATAGGGGTAGGGGGTTGTGATGGGTGTGATAGGGGTCGGGGTTGTGATGGGAGTAGGGGTGTGATAGGGTTGGAGGTGTGATGGGGGTAGGGGGTGTGATGGGTAGGAGTGTGATAGGGGTAGGTGGTGTGATGGGGGTAGGGGTGTGATAGGGGTAGGGGGGTGTGATGGGTAGGGGTTGTGATAGAGGTAGGGGTGTGATGGGGGTAGGGGTGTGATGGGGGTAGGGGTGTGATGGGTAGGGTGTGATGGGTAGGGTGTGATGGGTAGGGTGTGATGGGTAGGGTGTGATGGGGGTAGGGTGTGTGATGGGGGTAGGGGTGTGATGGGTAGGAGTGTGATAGGGTAGGTGGTGTGATGGGGGTAGGGGGTGTGATGGGTAGGGGTGTGATGGGGGTAGGGGGTGTGATGGGTAGGGGTGTGATGGGGGTAGGGGTGTGATGGGGGTAGGGGTGTGATGGGGGTAGGTGGTGTGATGGGTAGGGGTGTGATGGGGGTAGGTGGTGTGATGGGTGTGATAGGGGTCGGATGTGATGGGAGTAGGGGTGTGATAGGGGTAGGTGGTGTGATGGGTGTGATAGGGGTCGGGTGTGATGGGGGTAGGGGTGTGATGGGGGTAGGGGTGTGATGGGGGTAGGTGGTGTGATTGGTGTGATAGGGGTCGGGTGTGATGGGGGTAGGGGTGTGATGGGGGTAGGGGTGTGATGGGGGTAGGGGTGTGATGGGAGTAGGGGTGTGATGGGGGTAGGGGTGTGATGGGTAGGGGTGTGATGGAGGTAGGGGTGTGATGGGGGTAGGGTTGTGATGGGGGTAGGGGTGTGATGGGGGTAGGTGGTGTGATGGGTAGGGGTGTGATAGGGGTAGGGGTGTGATGGGGGTAGGGGTGTGATGGGGGTAGGGGTATGATGGGGGTAGGGGTGTGATGGGTAGGGGTGTGATGGGAGGTAGGGGTGTGATGGGGGTAGGGGTGTGATGGGGGTAGGGATGTGATGGGAGGTAGGGGTGTGATGGGGGTAGGGGTGTGATGGGGGTAGGGGTGTGATGGGTAGGGGTGTGATGGGAGGTAGGGGTGTGATGGGGGTAGGGGTGTGATAGGGGTAGGGATGTGATGGGAGGTAGGGGTGTGATGGGTAGGGGTGTGATGGGGGTAGGGGTTGTGATGGGGGTAGGGGGTGTGGATGGGTAGGGGTGTGATGGGGGTAGGTGGTGTGATGGGTAGGGGTGTGATAGGGGTAGGGGTGTGATGGGGGTAGGGGTGTGATGGGGGTAGGGGTGTGATGGGGGTAGGGGTGTGATGGGAGGTAGGGGTGTGATGGGGGTAGGGTTGTGATGGGGGTAGGGGTGTGATGGGGGTAGGGGTGTGATGGGGGTAGGTGGTGTGATGGGTAGGGGTGTGATAGGGTAGGGGTGTGATGGGGTAGGGGTGTGATGGGGGTAGGGGTGTGATGGGGGTAGGGGTGTGATAGGGGTAGGGATGTGATGGGGGTAGGGGTGTGTGATGGGGGTAGGGGTGTGATGGGTAGGGGTGTGATGGGGGTAGGGGTTGTGATGGGGGTAGGGGTGTGATAGGGGTAGTGGTGTGATGGGTAGGGGTGTGATGGGAGGTAGGGGTGTGATGGAGGTAGGGGTGTGATGGAGGTAGGGGTGTGATGGAGGTAGGGGTGTGATGGGAGGTAGGGGTGTGATGGAGGTAGGGGTGTGATGGTGTGATAGGGGTAGGGGTGTGATGGGGGTAGGGGTGTGATGGGGGTAGTGGTGTGATGGGTAGGGGTGTGATGGGTATGGGTGTGATAGGGGTAGGGGGTGTGATGGGAGGTAGGAGTATGGGTGTGATAGGGGTAGGGGGTGTGATGGGGGTAGGGGTGTGATGGATGTGATGGGAGGTAGGGGTGTGATAGGGGTCGGGGGTGTGATGGGTATGGGTGTGATGGGAGGTATGGGTGTGATGGGTTGACGTGTGTTGGAGTCTGATGGGAGACATAAGCTTTGCACGCCTTCCACCAATTAACACACACGCCTTTCACACCTTACACAATGTGCACATGTTACACAAGCCTTGCTTACACCACCCTTACCATAACGTCTGGCATATGCCCTACCCCTATAACGCGCCTTACACACAACTAACATTCCTCACATCGCCTACAATACCTTACACTACACTACAGACGTATTACACTACACACAGCTTACACTACACGCGGCTTCCACGTGCAGTGCACGTCTGTGATCTCGATACTCACAGCCTCCGTCCCCGTGGCAACGAAAGCGATGGTGGCGAGGCCTTAGAACACCACCACCACCACCACTAACTATAATGACTTGTCATGCCCACCACACGCACTGTGAACACCACCACCAATTACAATGACGATGCTGATGACGATGCTGATTATGACAAATAACGTCGATGATAATGATGATGATGATGGCGGTGGTGCGGATTTTAATAACGCTGCTGCTGATGATGATGACACAAGTGGGAATAATGCTGCTGCTGATGATGATGGTTGCTATCGCTGCTGCTGTTGATGATGCTGAAGATGCTGAAGATGTTGTGATGTTACTTGCTGCTTTAGAGGACACTGCTGGTAAAGCTGCCGATCACGCGGCTACTGATGTTGACATATCGGCAATGATGATGCTGTTTGGTAGTGATGGTTACGCTGCCGTTTATGATTGTGCTGACGATATGATGGTGGTTGTGCTCCTAGTAATGCTGATGCTACTGCTGATCACACTGCTGCTTGCTGATTGTATTACTCATACTACTGCTGGTGAAGATGCTGATAATGATGGTGGTACTCCTGTTAATGCTGATGCTGCTGCTGATTTTATCACTGAAACTACCGCTGATGCTGCTGCTGATTTTATCACTGAAACTACCGCTGATGCTACTGCTGATTTTATCACTGAAACTACCGCTGATGCTACTGCTGATTGTATCACTGATACTACCGCTGATGCTACTGCTGATTTTATCACTGATACTACTGCAGATGCTACTGCTGATTGTATCACTGAAACTACCGCTGATGCTGCTGCTGATTGTATCACTGAAACTACCGCTGATGCTGCTGCTGATTTTATCACTGAAACTACCGCTGATGCTGCTGCTGATTTTATCACTGAAACTACCGCTGATGCTACTGCTGATTGTATCACTGATATTACCGCTGATGCTGCTGCTGATTTTATCACTGAAACTACCGCTGATGCTACTGCTGATTTTATCACTGAAACTACCGCTGATGCTACTGCTGATTTTATCACTGAAACTACTGCTGATACTACTGCTGATTTTATCACTGAAACTACCGCTGATGCTACTGCTGATTTTATCACTGATACTACTGCTGATGCTACTGTTGATTTTATCACTGATACTACCGCTGATGCTACTGCTGATTTTATCACTGAAACTACTGCTGATACTACTGCTGATTTTATCACTGAAACTACTGCTGATACTACTGCTGATTTTATCACTGAAACTACCGCTGATGCTACTGCTGATTTTATCACTGATACTACTGCTGATGCTACTGTTGATTTTATCACTGATACTACCGCTGATGCTACTGCTGATTTTATCACTGAAACTACCGCTGATGCTACTGCTGATTTTATCACTGATACTACTGCTGATGCTACTGTTGATTTTATCACTGAAACTACCGCTGATGCTACTGCTGATTTTATCACTGAAACTACTGCTGATACTACTGCTGATTTTATCACTGAAACTACCGCTGATGCTACTGCTGATTTTATCACTGAAACTACCGCTGATGCTACTGCTGATTTTATCACTGATACTACTGCTGATGCTACTGCTGATTTTATCACTGATACTACCGCTGGCTATGATTCTGCTGTGTTGATGATGATGGCGGTGCTACTCCTAATAACGCCGCTGATGCTACCGCTGATTCTGCTGCTGTTGCTGCTTGCTGATGGCTATGACACCGCTGCTGCTACTGCTGCTGCTGGTGGCGCTGCTGCTACCTCTGCTTACTGATGACGATCATCATCATCAGCCCCGCACGTGTCCGCCCATCGTCAACAACAACGTGCAGAGCGCCGGACATCACAACGCAGGCCGCGCCGTCGTCTGCCCCCCAACACCACTACCACCACTCATCCCCTCCTCTTCCTCCCTCCCTCCACCTCCTCACGTTGTTGTTGATGGCGCGCAGGGCGTGAGTGCTCATCTCGCCAGGGGGTTGTGGCCACCACCACCAACCACCAACCACTACCACCACCAACACGGCGGAGGAGGAGGCGGAGTGGTGTTCGTGGCGGGCGGGGGTCCCGGAGCGCCGCCGCTATCACCACAGCCGCCTGCTGCTGCTGCTTCTTGCTTATGCTGCTGCTTCTTGCTGCTGCTGCTTCTTGCTGCTGCTGCTTACTCCTTGCAGCTGTTACTTGCTTCTGCTGCTGTTACTGCTGCTTCTTGATGCTGCTGCCTCTTGCTTCTGCTGCCGCTTACTCCTTGCTGCTGTTGCTGCTGCTTCTTGATGCTGCTGCCTCTGCTTGCTGCTGCTGTTACTGCTGGGTCACTGTTTTATCCCCCCACTCGCTCGCTCGCTCCCTCCCCACTGCTCCCCCACCACCACCCTCCTGTCACTCTTCCCCCCCTCCAACCACCACCACCTCCAACAACCACCACCACCAACCACCACCACCACCTCCTCCTCTCTCGCACGCACGCGTCGGACCCCAGCAGCAAGCGCTCGGGCCGGAGCAGCTGACACACGCGGAGCGAGGGGGTGGGCAGCGGGGGGGGGGACCCCGTGACCCTCCTCCACTCTCACCACGCGGTGGGTGGCGTCGGGGGAGAGGCGGTCACACTCGATCACTCAGTCACTCGATCAAAATGAATGAATCACTCAATTACTCAATCGCTGATCAAAATGAATGAATCACTCAAATACTCAATCGCTGATCAAAATGAATTAATCACTCAATCACTCGATCACTAAATCAATGAATCACTCAATAAATTAATCACTAGATCACTCAATCAATTAATCACTCGATCACTCAATTAATCACTAGATCACTCAATCAATTAATCACTCGATCAATCAATTAATCACTAGATCACTCAATCAATTAATCGCTCGATCACTCAATCAATTAATCACTAGATAACTCAATTAATGAATCACTCGATCACTCAATTAATGAATTACTAGATCACTCAATCAATTAATCACTAGATCACTCAATCACTCGATCACTCAATAACTCAATCAATTGATCACGCAATAAATGAATCACTCGATCAATTAATCACTCGATCACTCAATCAATTAATCACTCAATCAATTAATCACTTGATCACTCGATCAATTAATCACTCAATCAATTAATCACTCAATCAATTAATCGCTCAATCACTCAATCAATTAATCACTCACTCAATAAATTAATCACTCGATCACTCAATCGCTCAATCAATTAATCGCTCAATCAATTAATCACTCAATCACTTGATCACTCAATCACTCAATCAATTAATTACTCGATCACTCAATAAAATTAATCACTCAATCAATTAATAATTCAATCACTCAATTAATCACTCGATCACTCGCCTCACTCACTCGTCCCAGGGGTTGGTGAGGAGGAGGAGGAGCGCGTGGGGTAGAGGGGTGGTGAGGCTTTGAAGGTGAGAACGGTGGTGCCCAGGTGAGTGGCGGTGTCGCACGGATTGATCCGCTGCACTCCCGCGGATTGGGGTCGCTCGCTTACTCACTGCCTCAATCACTCACTCAATCACTTATTCACTCGCCTACTCAATCACTTATTCACTCACCCAATCACTCACTGCCTCAATCACTCTATCACTCACCCAATGACTCACTCGCTCACTTATTCACTCACTCCCTGCCTCAATCACTGTATCACTCACTCAATGACTCACTCACTCGCTCACTTATTCACTCGCCTAGTCAATCACACACTCACTGTCTCAATCACTATATCACTCACTCACTCGCTCATTTATTCACTCGCCTAATCAATGACTCACTCACTGCCTCAATCACTGTATCACTCAATGACTCACTCACTCGCTCACTTATTCACTCACTGCCTCAATCATTCTATCAATCACTCAAAAATCACTCACTCGCTCACTTATTCACTCACTCACTGCCTCAATCATTCTATAAATCACTCAAAAATCACTCACTCGCTCACTTATTCACTCGCCTACTAAATCACTACCTCAATCTCTCAATCACTCAATAACTCACTCACTCGCTCACTTATTCACTCGCCTACTCAATCACTCACTGCCTCAATCACTCTATCACTCACTCAATAACTCACTCGCTCACTTATTCACTCGCATACTCAATCACTCACTCACTGCCTCAGTCACTCACTCGCACACAGACTTATTCACTCGCTTACTCAATTGCTCACTCTTTCACTCTATCACTCAATTGCTCACTCACCGACGTACTTATTCACTCGCGTATTCAATCGCTCAGTCATTCGCCGACTCAACCACCATATCACTCACTCAATGACGGCTCACTAAATTGCTCACCAACTTAATGACTCAACTCAATCACGCGGCCCCAGGGGCTGGTGGGGAATGAGGTTTTCGGTGAGGCTGCGGTAAGAAAGTGAGGGTGATAGTGAGGATGTGATGGTGGTGAGGATGTTAGTAAGGCAGGAAGAGCTACTCTAAGGATCTGATGGATTTCGTGATGACCGTGGCGAGTCTGCGAGGGTCCTGGCAAAGCGGTGAGGGTATTTTCGGCGAGTCGGTGAGGGTTATGGTGAGGCTGTGATGGTCATGGGGAGCAGCTAGATCTGGGCTCCGGAACCGCATGCGGCTCTTTGAAAAATTCAGGGGGGTTTACCGAATTCCGACTCCTGACCATGGAAGTCAAGTTCACCATGGGAATCCAGTTTACCATGGAAGTCCAGTTCACCAAGGGAGTCCAGTTCACCAAGGGAGTCCAGTTCATCATGGAAGTTCAGTTCACCATGGAAATCCAGTTCACCATGGGAATCCAGTTCACCATGGGAGTCTAGTTCACCATGGGAATCCAGTTCACCATGGGAGTCCAGTTCACCATGGGAGTCCAGTTCACCATGGGAATCCAGTTCACCATGGGAGTCCAGTTCACCATGGGAGTCCAGTTCACCATGGGAATCCAGTTCACCATGGGAATCCAGTTCACCATGGGAGTCCAGTTCACCATGGGAGCCCATTCACAATGGGAGTCCAGTTCACCATGGGAATCCAGTTCACCATGGGAATCCAGTTCACCATGGGAGTCCAGTTCACCATGGGAGCCCATTCACAATGGGAGTCCAGTTCACCATGGGAGTCCAGTTCACCATGGGAGTCCAGTTCACCATGGGAGTCCAGTTCACCATGGGAGTCCAGTTCACCATGGGAGCCCAGTTTACCATGAGAGTCCAGTTTACCATGAGAGTCCAGTTCACCATGGGAGTCCAGTTCACCATGGGAGCCCAGTTTACCATGAGAGTCCAGTTCACCATGGGAATCCAGTTCACCATGGGAGTCCAGTTCACCAAGGGAGTCCAGTTTACCATGGGAGTCCAGTTCACCATGGAAGTCCAGTTCACCATGGGAGCCCATTCACAATGGGAGTCCAGTTCACCATGGGAGTCCAGTTCACCATGGGAGTCCAGTTCACCATCGGAGTCCAGTTCACCATGGGAGTCCAGTTCACCATGGGAGCCCAGTTTACCATGAGAGTCCAGTTTACCATGAGAGTCCAGTTCACCATGGGAGTCCAGTTCACCATGGGAGCCCAGTTTACCATGAGAGTCCAGTTCACCATGGGAATCCAGTTCACCATGGGAGTCCAGTTCACCAAGGGAGTCTAGTTTACCATGGGAGTCCAGTTCACCATGGAAGTCCAGTTTACCATGGGAGTCGAGTTCACCATGGGAGTCCAGTTTACCATGGGAGTCCAGTTCACCATGGGAGTCCAGTTCACCATGGGAGTCCAGTTCACCATGGGAGTCCAGTTCACCATGGGAATCCAGTTCACTATGGGAGTCTAGTTCACCATGGAAGTCCAGTTCACCAAGGAAGTCCAGTTCACCATGGAAATCCAGTTCACCAAGGGAGTCCAGTTCACCATGGGAGTTCAGTTCACCATGGGAGTCCAGTTCACCATGGGAGTCCAGTTTACCATGGGAGTCCAGTTCACCAAGGGAGTCCAGTTCACCATGGGAGTCCAGTTTACCATGGGAGTCCAGTTCACCATGGGAGTCCAGTTTACCATGGGAGTCCAGTTCACCATGGGAGTTCAGTTCACCATGGGAGTCCAGTTTACCATGGGAGTCCAGTTCACCATGGGAGTCCAGTTTACCATGGGAGTCCAGTTCACCATGGAAGTCCAGTTTACCATGGGAGTCCAGTTCACCATGGGAGTCCAGTTTACCATGGGAGTTCAGTTCACCAAGGGAGTCCAGTTCACCATGGGAGTCCAGTTTACCATGGGAGTCCAGTTCACCATGGAAGTCCAGTTTACCATGGGAGTCCAGTTCACCATGGGAGTCCAGTTTACCATGGGAGTTCAGTTCACCATGGGAGTTCAGTTCACCATGGGAGTCCAGTTTACCATGGGAGTCCAGTTCACCATGGGAGTCCAGTTTACCATGGGAGTCCAGTTCACCATGGAAGTCCAGTTTACCATGGGAGTCCAGTTCACCATGGAAGTCCAGTTTACCATGGGAGTCCAGTTCACCATGGGAGTTCAGTTCACCATGGGAGTCCAGTTTACCATGGGAGTCCAGTTCACCATGGGAGTCCAGTTTACCATGGGAGTCCAGTTCACCATGGGAGTTCAGTTCACCAAGGGAGTCCAGTTTACCATGGGAGTCCAGTTCACCATGGGAGTCCAGTTCACCAAGGGAGTTCAGTTCACCATGGGCAGGAGTCGGAAACCGACGGCTCCGTTGTAGCATGTGGCTCTATAAAATAACTGCTTCGTGACATTATTTATTCAGGACCACCACCAATCTCGTGTGTCAGCACGTGGCATTGCGCGGCGCTTTGAAATATTGAGTTGTTGGTGTTTTGTGGTTGTTTTTTACTTTTACTTTCATTCATTTTAATGTTTTACCTACGTGACTTTACCGAAAAAACCTAAGAATATGAATAAGAATGTATTGTTTTTACCGAAAACAAAAGGTGGCTGCTCTCCTTGTTATTTTGACTGCCGACCGACTTCACCCCCCCCCCCCCCCGAGCCTGAGCCAGGAGGTTTCTGGATGTCTCGCTCTCGTCTGAAGGTGGCAGTGTCGTCTCGTCTGAAGGCAGAGGTCGCACACGGGTTTTGATTCCTTACCCGTACCCGGCCGCACCAGAGTCGCAAACGGGTACCCGTACCCGGCCGTACCCGCACTCTACCCGTACCCGGCCGAGTACGGGTAGGGTACGGGTATTGGATACCTGATTGCGACCTCTGGGATGAAGCCATGTTGCAGGCGCGGGTGGGTTGATTCAAGACGTTGGGAAATGAGTGACAAACAGTACGGGTAGCCGGGTATCGGGTAGGGTACGGATATCGGGTAGGGTACGGGTATC